CCGCCCCGGGGGCCGCAGCTGCCGCTGCAGGGGCTGAAACCTCTCAGTTACCCGCTACTGCTGACTTCCTAGGGTCGGGTTTCCGCTCCGCTTTCCCTACCTGCCGGGGAAGGACCTGCCTGGGGCTCCCTGCTGCTTGGGGCATCTCCTTCTAACGCGCCCCATCACACCCGGCCTCCCGTCTGGCGGCCCTGGGAGAACCGGGCAGCAGCAAGCTGTAGGGACAGAGCCAGTCTGGGAAGGGGAAGCGCTCCCTCCGCCACTTCACTGCATCACACTTCATCGTCCCCGTCCCACTCAGTCCCTGGCCATCCTGTCCACCGCCATGGCCTCCACGTTTAAGACTCGCAGCCCAGACCTCCGACCTGCTGCGTGACCTGCCTAGAGAGCCCTCAGAGTCAGCAAGTGCGGAGCAGAACTCGCGATCCCCACCACCTTCCCCACCCAAGAGTGCTCCTCTGGGTCCTCCTGTACCCTGTCTGGGAACAGGCAGCCTTCACTTTCCTAAGCTCTTGAATAATAATTGGTTCTGGGTGTGTAAGGAATAGCCAATTCTTAAATAAAATTTAATTAAAACCGAAAACTTCCTTGTCTGCAGGTCGTGACAAGCAAACTTTCTATTAGATGTTCCCTTTCCCAGGAAATTGGAGGGCTTTTTGATTCCAGACACCCTCTTGTTGAAAGGCAGTGGTGCCTAGAAGTCCCAGCCATGAGCCGCATCATCCCTGATGCTTCTTTCACCACTCAGAGAACCTTGGTGCTGGGGTCCAGGGTGCATCTCTCCAAGCTTTGTCACCCTTCCCCCATCTCATAGCCTCTGAACTGTCCTCCCACCTTCAGTCTCACCTCCCTGCCTTCAGTCTGGTCTCTCTTCACACCCACTCCCCTCATTTTCTTCACGGCAGCCTGAGACCTCTTTTTAAAAGGCATGTTTGGAGGCTGGGGATGTAACTCAAAGTGCTTCCCTCTCATGGGTGAGGCCCTACTACTACAAAAGAATAGGAGAGGAGAGAGAAAAATATATCTGACCAGGGCCCTCCCTCAGGCAGAAAATCTTGTCATGATTCTTTGCTCTCCTTCTGCAGGCACCCTGCCCTTAGGGGCTGTTCTAACCTTCCACCCTAGAGCTTCTGTCAGTACTGTCCCTATGTCCACCACCAACTTTCCTCTAGCTTTGCCAAGCTGCTTGCAAGTTGTTAAACACACCACTCATTCAGCAAATATTTATGAAGCATGTACTTGTGTGCTAGACCCTAGGGTTACAGCGGTCAAACAGACAGGGCTCTGGCTCTGGCTGGACTCTAGGCCTTTGAACATGTCTTACATGTTATCCCCTTTCCCAGAGTAGGTCCCTTTACTTCCTTGGGCACACTCTTACTCATCTTCAAAGACCCAGTTGAACCCTTTTCTGCTCTGATGTTTTTTCTGTGTCTTTTTTTGTCTTTTTTTTTCTCTTTTCTTGTTTTTCGGAGTTTTTTTTTTCTATGTTTTGGGAGTCATTATTCTCAGGTTTGATTATCCAGCCCAGTAGCTTTAAATTCCACCCAAATTTATGCCTCCAGTGCAGACTCTGCATCTGCCTACTTGCAGTAGAAACTCAGATGTCTAATAGGCATCTCAAGATTGCCACCCTCACAAATCTGTTCCTCCTCAATCTTTCCCATCTCAGGAAACAGCTCCACCACCCATCACGCTTGCCCAAACTTAAAATTCAAGCATCATTCTTGTTTTCGCCTTTTCCCCCATCTCCAGTCCATTTGCATGCCCTGTCAGCTCCACTTCCAAAATATGTCTCCAATGTATTTCACTCTCTTGTCAGCTGCCATCACTTTAATTCAAGCCACCATTGATTTCTTGTCTGGATTATTGCAACAGACGCCTAACTGTCCATCCCCCACAAAACCGCCAGAGTGATCTTATAAAATCTTAATTCAGATTATGACATTCTCTTGCTTAAAACCTTCTGGTGGTTTCCTGTTGCACTTAGTATTGAACTTGACTCTACAAGCTGCATGATTCATCTCTTTCCCACTTCCCTCCCTCCATCCAAATACCTAGTCTCCTATCAATTCTGCAAATACATCAATCTTTTCCTGCCTCAACATCTGTACACTGGTTTCTCCTTCCCTCAAATCTCAGTTCAAAGTCATCTCCTCCAAGAGGCCCTCCTGGATTATCCTTTCTAAAATTGCCTATAATATTTCTCTTTATTTCATCACTGATTATTTTTCTTTTCTTTTCTCTCTCTCTCTCTCTCTTTTTGTATTGAGAATTGAACCCAGGAGTGCCCTAGCACTGGTTTACATCCACAGCCCTTTTTGAGACAAGTTATCATCAAATAGTAATTTGTAATCTTCCTGCCTCAACTTCCAGAATAGCTGGGATTATAGATGTGTGCCACCAAGCCTGGCTGTTTATTTTTTTCTTACTTTCTTTTTTTATTTTTATTTATTTATTTATTTTCCCACTGAGCTATATATCTAGCCCTTTTTATTTTTTGAGACAGAGTTTCTCTGAGTTGCCTATTCTAGCCTTGAATTTGAGATCCTCCTGCCTCAGTCTCTTGAGTTGCTAGTATTATAGCCATATACACACTCAGGGGTGTATATTTTCTTTAAAGTACTTATCACCATCCGTAATTACCTTGTTTATTTGAGTATTGTTTGTCTCCCTCCATTAGAATGTAAACTCCAAAAGAACAGGGAACTATATCCCAGAATCAGGCACAGGCCTGATGCATAGTAGGTACTCAGTAAATAGTTGTGAATAATTTTACTCATCCTTGATAACAGTCATCATTCTATATAATCTAGGATCTATGAGTCTTTTCCCATAAATTCCTCATGAGTTCATATATTATTCTATATCTTTGGAATCTAGTCCAGGCCTGGCATATACTAGTTTACCCATAAATGTTCTTGGAATAAATGAAGGAAAGCAAAAGGATCAATCAAAGAAAGTGTGTGTGCAGGTGGGGCAGGCAGGGAGATTAGAGTTGAGGAAACCAATGGCATAAAGTTCAATTCCAGAGCCAAGCATAGTGGTGCACCCCTGTAATTCCAGCTGCTTGGGAGGCTGAGGCAGGAAGATCATGAGTTCAAAGGCAGGCTCAGCAACTTAGTAAGGCCCTAAGCAACTCAGTAGACCCTGTATCTAAATAAAATATAAAAAAAGGATGGGGATGGCTCAGTGGTTAAGCACCCCTGGATTCAATTCATGGTACCAAAAAAAGAAAAAAAAAAAGGGTTTAATTCCAAGCCAGAAGATGATGTGATTAGTTCTGTCTCATACAAGGCATAGAGTTAGAACTGGGGCCATGGGCCAGGGACCAACTCATGATATAGATGGGGACATGGTCAGAATCATACTTGAAAGTCACAGGTGAGTTTTTCTAATACCCTACTCCTTCATCTTCCCTCGTGTCTCCTTGCAGGAAGGACATTCCCGAAGAAGGGCCAAACATGCGTGGTACACTACACAGGTAGGCCTCATTCTCTCAGCCTCACCAGCCTGCCACTCGCAAGGCAGGAAGGTCCTCTGAGCTCCTCTCCTGAGATGTCTGTCTCCATATCAGGCCTGAAGCCCCCCCGCAAAAGAGGACTGTGACCAGTCTTCTTCTCTTCATACCACAAAGGCCCTCATGGTGCCAGCCCATACCTGAATCAAGCATCTCCAGTCCCCTTCCCTCACTGGGGTCAGAGTGGTGCTCTGACCTTCCTGATTTTTGTCTTGATAGCTGGAGGTCTCTCTGAAAGATTGGAGAGCCCCCAAACTCCCAGCAGACTCCCTTTTCATCCTACAGTATCATTCGAGAAGAGGAGGTTGGCCTCACAATTTCTTGTTTTTAGAAATACACTGCTTAATTCAATCTGCTGTTATCGGACACCAACCGTGTGACATGCCTACTTTCACGGGGTCTGTAGTTAGGACAGTCACCTGGAGCCTCTGGTGCAGTGTGAGGGGTAGAATGTTGGTGGTGCTTGTCTCCCAGTACTGGGGGAACCCCAAGGAGAGCTCCATGTTTTTGCTGTCTCCTCCTGGATGCTATGTATCTGAAGGCCAGGTGGGCCAAGGGGCATTCATTCTAGATGAGTTCTTCAGGATTGCTGGCAGGAAGATCATGAGCAGGTATTTTTCCAAGGGGGATGAGAGCTCTGCTTTGTGACCTGCTTCCTAATGTGGCAGACTCAGTGAGTGACAGTCACTTAGCATACAGCAAGCCCAGCTAAATTCCTGGGACATGTTGGATGGGGCCATTTTTAGCAGTTCTCAGGGCCAGTGTGAAGCACCAGGTTAGTTCTAGCAGTGCGGCTGTTTCTCAACAGTTACATTGCCTGTCGCTGATGTCAGTGGACTGGGGCTGTTTTATCTCCTGGTGATATGACCTAATTACCATGGGGCCTCTGGGCCCTCTGACCCAGGGAATTGATTTATCTGTTCTACATGTTGCAGATAGACCAGTATTTATCAAATTACTGAAAACACAACATCCTTTTG